AGCAGACCTGCTGTAAGCAGCCGCACAGTGGGTAATATTAGCCATAAATCCCCGAACTCCACGGTTTTTGCATTTCCACTGGGACAGATCTTTATGTCTAAAAGACGTAAGGATTCCCGACCCTGAAAATGGAACTGGTTACAGTGGGTGCAGGAGGCAGTGGCATCTCCTTCCTCCACAGCATCCACTTCCAGCCTTTGGTTGCCCAAACCTTGTGCAAACATCCAGCGAAGACAGTGTATAGGTCACTCTACAGGAGCGAGCCCAGGTACAGGAGACAGCACAACCAGGGACGCATGGAGGCCAGTGAAAGCTAAATGTGTAGACACTCAGGCATCTCTGTGTTGTACTGGGTTGTGAGCTGCAGATGCCCCCAGATTAGTCACATCTTGCTATAGCCCTGCAGGTCTCACCCAGCCTGTTTCAAGGAATATTTCATCTATTCCACTAACTCCCCAAAATCCGTTTCTATCAGCCAAGCCATATCAGATGCAGTCCCACAACTGTGAAGCTGTGGAAAGCAGGCCTGTTGGATAAATCCTTGGCTTATTTAGAGTATTCCAGCAGTGAATTTAAAACATACGCATGAATCCTCAGTTGTTTGCATCCTGACCCCTCCCTGTGCCTGAATTATCTTCTTTCCTCCAGACCTAGCCATGCTCCTGAGCAGCAGGTATAATATTACACATCACACATTGCTTAATGAAAATCTCACAGCCTAATCTGTCCACTACCTATTTTTATTGCCTTTCTGCTCTTTTTTTTTAATTGATATGCTTCTTTATTACTTATTTTTAGCTGATCAGAAACTGAGCTGCGGGTAATTTAAAACATGCTGCCTGCTCTGCATTGATAACTTCCGTAGTCTTCTAAACTTTGAAATACAAGCCTTTCTATAGAGACATATTAGCACTTAAAAGTCTTCCAGTAAAACTGTGTCCTGAATTCCACTGAGGATGTGCAAAATCCAGGGAAGTCAATGGCTTGCAGGACCATAAACCTGCTTCCAGTTTAGATCCTCACACTGTTGGTGAAGAAACACTGAATATTCACTGATGGAGCAAGGATTAGGATCTGGACTGTGCTGTCCAGTGACTGCACAGTTGGTGTGAATATAACCCTAGGTAAATGACGAACCCATCGGAAGGAGCATCTCTGTTGTCACTGAGGGAATGTTTTGTACATGCAGACAGGCCTGGATGACTTCAGCAGCTACTGAAATTCAGCTAATTTAATGCCAGTTCAGACTTGAAGTTTTTTGCTTCAGTCTTCATCTAAACCTCTCTGGGATGCACTGCTATTTTTGAAGTGCTCTGACTGCTATATCACTAATTCATCACCACCACAGCTTTCCCCCCTCACCCCGTTCTCTTATTTAAAGGCAGTATCAACTTTGGGATCTGCTTTTTCATGGGAACAATTATAGAGCAGTGAAACAGCATTTAAAGCAATGCACCAATTTACCAAGCTTTAATTGTATGCAGCTTTTAAATTAGCCCTCTTAATTCAAAATTTAACACATTTGCACTTTTGCATAAAGAGCTGCCCCAATTCATCAAAATTAAGCTGTTTATTATACTGTGAATTGCTTACTTCAGGGTAGTAATCAGTGGTAGGTATGAGATGCTGGATTAGAGCATCCAGAGATGCTGAGGTAAGGTTTCCATCCTGGAAGATCAGTCCTCCTTGTTCATCTTCTTTCGAAGTATGTAGATGAGGGCTGAAGCCACATGGGGTAAACATACTGGTAGAACTCAGCGTTTGCGGCATGCCTTCCTACAACAGACAAAACATCAGGGACAAGATCCATCAGATTCACAGCCACATCTGTCTTCGGGTTGATTTGAAAAACACAAGCCATTAATGAGAGCTTCCTGTTCACAAAATCAACATGATTGCTTCATTATAACCTCTTTTGTTGTTGTCATTGGCAGATCATGCCTGCGATGGGAAATACGCAGGAAAATGGGACATTTTCATTTATGCTTTTGGGCCAGAAAGGGACATCAGCTGCTTCAGGCTCCGACTCCAATCAAGAGTGCCTGTGATGATCCCCTTTTTGCTACCAGCCCTGGTCAGTCCCATGTAGGAGAGGCGAGATACCTGGGACTTGAATTCAGCAGGTTCCTGAGCAGAACAGAGCTGTTTCTTTGAACCTCTGTCCCCCTGAGAATGAGGCAGGGAGAATTTAAGGTGAGAGAGGGAGAGAAAAGGGGTGCCACCCAAGGCTTGCTCAGGATGGACCTCAAGAAAGGTCTGTGGCTCCCATGGGACAGGAGAGGCGTCAGAGTGAGTGAGGGGTAGCAGCAGGAGCAGAAGTCAACTGGAGGAGGATGGAAAAATGAAGGGAGTTGGAAGGAGCAGAGAACGTGGGAGCTGAAGAAGAGATTAAAGAGCAACGAAAAAAGACATGAGGGAGAGGGAGAAGGCAGACACCTGCACTATTTTTGGAGCCTGAAGTTAGTCAGTCCTAGATCTATACTTAGGCACTAAATAAATGTTTCAAAAAGATCCTGAGCACTCATCGACTTCACTAGAGATGCAGAGTCCTCAGCACCTTTGAAAAGGAGGCCAGGCAAACTTGGAGCATGTAGCCCAGTTTCAAGCTCCCTGTATTATCACAGTTCTCTGGGCTCTCCAAGTTGCATTCTAGGCTTCATCTCAATTTTGTGGCTTCCAATCAGCTTTTAATGTTTCTTCTGTTGAGCAAAGTTGGTTTGTTCCCAAATTGGTGCAGGCGGATGACAGATTTTGCCCTAAGAGCTTTAAAGCATCTCCAGCTGCCTCTGAAATCCCCCCTAGAAGCTGCTCCGCTCTCAGCAAGTGGCAGCGTTATAGGATGTGGACTGGGAAAAGGACAGTGCATGCTCACTCCCAGGTCAGCAAATATCATCCAGAGCAAGCGACCCCTCTGTGACCTGACAATTTGCTTCTAAGTTTGATTTTACCTGGTGCGAGGGAGGATGGGAAAGAGATGAAGGAAGGGAAGAGTCCTAGAGGCAACCTCTATTTCTGTGAGCAGCTACAAAACATCTCCCAGGACTCCGGCTCTCCCTCCTGAGCATAACCTCTGTCTGCTGGAAGAGCAAGATCTGCACCTCACAGCCTACTGAGCCGGCACCGGCCTCCCACGTAGGAAGGCACAGGGCCACAGGCTGCCCCCGCCTGCCTGCCGCTACGCCTCAGCCTGTGGACTCGTCCTGCCTGCTGGTGCTCAGTCCTTATTTTTCAATATATTTCGCTGCTCTATTCTTTATCCTGTTCCACCTAGTATTCTGCCTCTTCACCATCCCATACAACTTCAAAAGCTGCCCCATGGATTTGGCTTAAAAACTTGAGTTTGCGTTTCTCCCCCACGTATATCGGTAAATGTGGTGTCAGCTCAGCTTTAGTTACATGCACAGTACGTTGTATTTACTCCTGCAAATATCCTTGCGTGCAAAAGCACCTCTCTGCATGGCACAACCCATCGACTCCCCCAAGCTCCGGCTGCTGCAACTCACCAACTCAGAGCAACCTTGGGCCGCCAAGGATGAGAAGGGCAGTGTGCCTGTAAGCCAGGCAGGGTGTGAAGCCCTGGGAGAGGCTGGGAGCTGGGTCCCAGCACCGTGGGAGACCAGGCTTTACGAGCAAAACTTGGGTGACTTAATCCTTCAAAGGAGGCACCATTCCCCGGGAGCCAGCGGTTCGGTTACTGTGTCTCTTCTCCTTCTGGGAGGCTCACACGGGCTGGGAGCGCGGGCTGCCTCCGGGATTTGCAATCAAACAGAAAGGAACCCAAACGTCAAAACCAACAAATTCCTGCCCTGACTGAAAAATAAAATAGATGTCAGGAATTTTAGTTTAGTTTAAAGACCGGAATATCTGAATGTCATCCGAGCCAGAATGGAAGCTGAAGTATCTAGTCTTAATGAAAGTGCAGATGTGCCTGTTAATAAGGCTTCTAGAGCAAGTAATTGCTGCTTTTTGTACACAGCTCAGACTCGGTGTAGTAAATGGGAAAGACTGCCAAATCCCATTTGTTACTTCTAACACGCTCCATGTTACGTCTTGTTTCTATGGCAATAATCCCAAGAAGGATTGCACGTCTATATAGATCAAGAAATAAATCTCATGGACATATAGCTGTCTAGATGAGGAAAAGAAAAAGTTGAAACAGCTGTGAACTTACAGGACACATCCTGGCTTCAGTGGAAAACAGAACTCAAAGTAATCATTTATTCAGTGCAATCCCTCACTGCCAATGCCATTTTTATTATCAAATAGAAACGTTATCTAAACAGGATATTGCCTGAACTTTTGCATCTCATTACATGAGAAATCTTGCTGAAACACATAGTAATGCTTCTAAGCAAAAGTTACCTTTTTTTTTTAAACTGAATAAAAACAGCTGTACAACTGTCGCTGAGACATCTGTCTTGGGTATTGTTAAGAAATTAAATTTGACTTTTTATTATGAAGTTCCTGGTCTAATCTCAAACTTTTGGGCAAGGCCTGTGTCATATCTGAGTTGGTGCCTGGTTGCCACTTTACTTGCCACTGAAGAAGAACAGAAGGTTTTAATTTCATGCCTTTTTGCTCACTGTTGACTGACACTGCTATGTTCACAGCAGGATGAAGGCCAACTGTACAGAGACTAAAAATCTCTTGCACTACTAAGCTTGATAATAACTAACATTGGTATTTGGCAGACAGGAATTTAGGACAGGGACTTCTCTGCTCACACCACCTCATTTCTTTTTCTGTTTATGCAGTTTCCAAAGTACTCTTTTCAAAAGCACTAAATAGAAACACGATCTTCCTTTGAAAGAGCCCAAATATGTGATTGCCTGCAGCAGGCAGAAGACGAGGTTATGCTGTCAATCACTCGCAGAATACAGAAAGAACAAGGGAAGCACTGAGAGAGGAAAACAAACAAGCAAACAAGCTTAAGGAGATTTGTCTTACTGTACTGACGGTGGTTTGGATGATGGAAAAGGTAGGCGGTGTGGACAGAGCCAGGCCCTTCTCCGAAGAGCACAGTGACAGGATGAGAGGCGACACCCCCAGGCTGCAGAAGGGAAATTCCAGTTGAACTTAAGAGAAAATCCTCCCCTGAGCACCGCATGAAATTGGAAGAGGGACCTGGAAAGGATGTTCAATCTCCATCCTGGGAGATTTTCAAAACTCAATTAGACAAGGCCCTGAGCAACCTGAGCAAGCTTTGAAGTTAGCCCTGCCTCAAGCGAGAGCTTGGACTAACAACCACGAGAGGTCCCTTCTGATTAACTTTTCTGTGGTTCTAATACATGTCTTTCTTAAACTGTTGCAGTATTGCCCCATTTCTGGGCTTTTTAATATAAACCATAGCAAGTAAAAATCTAGTCCAGATCATGAGATATTTGTAAAGAAGTCCATGTTGGGTGTAAAATCTTTTTCCACTTTTCGTGGAAACAACAGCCCACACGTGGTAAAAACTTCACTTGAGGACAACTTGGACTTATCCTGAAGTCAGGTCAATGAGATTTAAACATGTGCAAATTCAGCAGGTAAGTGCTTCCCTGAACTTTAGTCCAAATTCAATACACAATGTTTTGCTGTTCCTCTCATTTCAGAAGGAAACCAGATGCCAATTTCAACCAAAATTTGCAGGATGATACAGAGATCTCAAAAACATCTGAGTTCCTCCGTGTGTCATAAAGCTGAGCAGCTGGGTAGCGAAGAAAGACCCAAATTATTGACCTTCTAGGCAGAGAGCAGCGATGTGAGCTGACCTGCTGCTGGACTCAAGAGGACTTGTATGGAGGTGAGAGACCTTACAAATACACCACCTGAAGGAACAGCATCCACCAACATTGCTAAGTACAGGGAAATCTAATCCTGCGAGAAAAAGCCAAACCCCCAGGTTTCACAAGTTCTGCTGCTCTTACGCGTACTTACTAAGACCTGGAAATCTCCAGCAGTAAATGTACTGGAGGACTGGTGCCCTGACTTTGGAAGGATATACTGCTATACACTGGTCCCAAAACCAGACTTAATGCTTGTGGGTTCAGAAGGAGCAGAGATGCTTTGCTAACAGCACACAGGCTCTTGTGGCAGCGACAAGGGTAAAATATAATGTGTGCCTTGAAGGACCGCTTTGATAAATGGTGCTCTGGAGGGAGCGCTGCTGGTGGAGGGATCTTAGTGAAGGGCAGACTTCCACACCCTGCTGTGCAAAATGACTGATGATACAGGTGGCTGCACACATACAGCATTTAAACTATCCCTGTGCTCTAAAGGACTGAGAGCTGGAGATGTGAAAATGTCTCTGCACTGGAAAGAAAAAAGAAAAAAGAAAAAAGAAAAAAGAAAAAAGGAAAAAGGAAAAAGAAAAAAGAAAAAAGAAAAAAGAAAAAAGAAAAAAGAAAAAAGAAAAAAGAAAAAAGAAAAAAGAAAAAAGAAAAAAGAAAAAAGAAAAAAGAAAAAAGAAAAAAGAAAAAAGAAAAAAGAAAAAAGAAAAAAAAAAAAAAAAAAAGAAAAAAGAAAAAAGAAAAAAGAAAAAAGAAAAAAGAAAAAAGAAAAAAGAAAAAAGAGAAAAAAGAAAAAAGAAAAAAGAAAAAAGAAAAAAAGAAAAAAAGAAAAAAGAAAAAAGAAAAAATGCAAGGGGAGCGTGTTTCTGGGAATGGTTTCCATTACACAGGACCCTCCATGTGGGAGAAGGCAGGGCATGTGGCTCCTTCCTTGCCTACAGCAAAACAAGGTTATAAAATGGAAAAAAACAGGTTGGACTCAGCACTGACACCTGCACA